CAGAAGAAAGGGAAGGAAGCAGAAATCAAAAATGTGCAGGGAACAGTCTCTTTTGAAAAGCTGTATGGAGATGTGATTTTCTGTACAGAGAGCTACACAGATAAAATGGTAGTTGTTCATTATTTGATGAAAAGATCAGAATCCAGGAGATTCCTCTGAAGAGGTATCACCTGTGAGATTTAGGGTACTTCCAGTTTAGCTACTTCCCAGTTTTCACTTAGTATTACCTGTCCCATTTTCAGTGATGATGGTTTCTATGTTTAAGCTGGCATACATCCTGGTATAGCTGCGGTACAACTGAAAAGTTTTGGTGGAGACAACAGTGCTGAGACAACCATTGTTTTCCAGCTGAAAAAGGAGCAAAAAGAGGAATACTTATTTTTCTCAAGATTTGGAAAAACAAATACAAGCTCCTAAGCTTGTATTAGTGGGTCTCTGAAGAGCTTCATGCCTCTGCTTGCATTTCCTTTAGCTTTTATCACCTACTTGCTCTCCTCTTCTATTAAACATCTTACTCTTTGGCTCCTCTCCCAGTTCATTGTTGGAAACTCCTACACCCACGTACATGAAATCCTTTCTACTCCCTTCCCCCTGTACTCACATCCCTTCTTAAGCACGTTTTGCATGATGAATGAGCTCTCTGATAGGAGCTTAGTTCTTTAAAGTACTTTGAATCTGATCTAGATGAGAAATCAAATATCAGTTTAACACTGTCCTCAAAGACTCCCAGTAGAGGCCAGCTGATTATCCTTGGTAAGTACACACATCCAGTGTTTCAGGAACGATCACGTATTCATAGTTTTATAAGCTCTCCTCTCTCCTACTGACTCTTCTGAGATAGAACTCAGATTTCTTATGAAAAATAATTTCTCTTCTCATGCTTTCTTGAGGAGAAGGGGCAAAAACCATTCTTCTAATGAGGTCACTGGTAAAAACTACATTCATGTTCTTTCAGAATTGTCTGTGAAACAGTGAGAAAAATATGCCTCTGGGATTATCTGTCTCATCTTCTCCAGGAAACAAATGTGGTCTCCAAACTTTGCGCTATGTGTTGAGTGGTAAAGTTCACTGGGAAGAAGGGCATAGCCCTGTTTCATACCAATCCAGTGACAGCTTCACAGGTTGGTTTCTGGCTTTGCTGACATTGTGGATTATAAAAGTGTTGCTGACACACATTGATTCGGGCAATCCCCTGCACTGGTTGGCCGTAAGTGTACCTAGTAGAGGATAAGACATAAGAATCCAATAATTACCAACTGTAAAAGGAAACTTAGCATGAAACCAGGAAAGATTGCAAAGCGGTGCAGACTCTAAACCCCTTAGGATCCAAGAGTACAAACAGAAAAGTAGCTGGGAATTAGAACATGTTGGTCCTACCTGAATTCTCCTCAATTATTTTTAGGCAGACTTTGACTTTAAAAAACCTACCTTACCATTGTCTTGGTTGAGTCATTCTTTAAGGTCTGAAGCTGGAAAGGGATGTTGGGCTTGTGTTTGGGATATCATTTCCTTCTGCTTGATTTTTTTTTTTTTCTTATTATTGCCTTACATGAAGCAAGATGTATGGCAGTCCTTGTTTCTCAGGCTTATGCTACCCTGCCCCTTGGCAGTGTCACATACAGAAATCTTAATGATAGTCGTCTACTATTTCTCTCCTTCTCTGTAATAATAAAATCAACAGCTAGCAAGTTTATACCACTTAATACCTTCAGACTGTTAAGACACACAAACTCACAAAATTCTAATTCTGCTATGAAGCAGAGTTATCATTATTTTTCCTGTCATGGAAGTCACAGCTAAATAAATTGCTCTAGTCTATACACTAATCAGTAGTGGCTCCCTATTTCACAGCATTTCACACTATCCTCTTTCCTGTGTTTCTTGTTTACACATGTTATTCTCAGCTCTTATACTTACAAGGCACAAACATTCACCCTGATTTCTTCATCAAAGAAAGAGATCCTCCTGGGCATGCTAGTTGTCACTTCAAACTTTGGCAGAACTGAGAATACAAGGTGAATATGACTGATCAGCAGTAGTATACCATGGACAGGTGCATAAGAGGAAGACAGTAAAAAAAAAATTAAAAAGAATTGGAGATTTCAAAGCAATTAAGCTCTGCACTTACAGCTCGTATCAGACTTAGAGCCAGCCTTTGGGGAAGTTCACAGTGCTTGCTTACCATATTCCTCCACTGTGAAGTATTCATGCTCCTTATCCCCTGACTTCTTCTCCACAATGATATGATAGGACCCCAAAATTGGCTCCTCGATTAATGGGAATGAAAGCTGGATAATGCCATGCATAGATGATACATCCAACCACTGGAAGATCTGATTTTGCTCTGGGTCCTGGGGAGTGGGAGAAAGAGAAGTGTCAAAACTTTTTTCACCCTTTTTCTTGGCTTATTTTAAATTTTCTATCCTGGTATACTGGTTTAATGTTTTACTGAATGAATGTGAGTCTGAGCGGATGGCATGTGTGATATGACTTACCATTAGTTTTCTAGATCTCTTTGTGCCTTAAACAGTCCCAAGTTTATGTTTACCTGAAAATTATCTACACTGCCAGATGATCTCAGATCATCCATGAATAGTATCTGATTATGACTCAGGTTGCTTATCTGCAGCTCTTCTAGTACGAGTATTTTTGATTCAGTTCTTCCTTATGTCAAATGGGAACAGTATGCTGGCCCCCCTTGAAATGAAATGCAGAACACTGACTTAATGTTTGCCTTGCTTCTAGCAGAAGATGACATTTTCAGAAAGAGACTCTTTTTTGCCTGTATGCAGATGACTCTATTTAATATTCCAATTTGCTGCAGTCCTACCAACATAAGACCGTACTAAACACCCATGTTTGAATCCTAACAAAAGAAACAACAACTTTTTGCCATCTCCAACTAACACCTCCAGTTCTGCTGACTCCTCCTGCTCTTTGTCTTTAGATTATGTGCTCTGGATGAGTCTTTGTCGGATAATGACACTCAGAGGAGCTATGTCTAAACATGCCAGCACCTGCATGTACACTTTGCTGTGGCACAACGGGGAAAGTGTTGTGAAAACAAATGGAAGAGATTATGTAAAGACAGGGTTGTAAAGACAGAAGGGTCTGGATTTGAAGCTGCAAATTAAGTATGTAAGCAAAAATAATAAAGAAATCATAAACCAAAAATTCTGTTTGATTCTGTGGTTTGTCTAATTGTTAAAATTATTCGAGAAGTAACCTGTGCAGCAGGGCATATTTATTTTCTATCCAGGTTAACACAGTGAATGGGACAATGTTTTTTCTACCACTATGCTTTACATTTTCCATCACAGAATCATACCATAGAATCATAGAATGGCATGGGTTGAAAAGGACCTCAAAGATCATCTAGTTTCAACCCCCTGCCACAGGCAGGGTTGCCAACCATCAGACCAGGCTGCCCAGAGCCACATCCAGCCTGGCCTTGAATGCCTTCAGCTATGGGGCATCCACAACTTCCTTGGGCAACCCATTCCAGTGCTTCACCACCCTCTGAGTCAAAAACTTCCTCCTAATATCTAACCAAATCTCCTCTGTTTTCGTTTAAAACCATTCCCCCATGTCCTATCACTATCAACCCATGTAAACTGTCATTCCCCCTCCTGTTTATGAGCTCCCTTCAAGTACTGAAAGGCCACAATGAAGTCTTCTCTAAGCTAAACAAACCAAGTTCTCTCAACTCTTCTTCATAGGAGAGGTGCTCCAGCCTTCTGATCGTCTCAGTTCTCCTCCTCTGGACTCGTTCCAAGAGCTCTGTGTCTTTCTTGTGCTGGGGGCCCCAGGCCTGGACACAGTACTGCAGATGGAACCTCACAAGAGCTGAGTAGAGGACAATCACCTCCCTCTCCCTGCTGGCCACCCCTTTTTTAATGCAGCCCAGGATATAGTTGGCCTTCCCAGCTGCAATTGCACACTGCTGGCTCATGTCCAGCTTCTTGTCCACCAGGACCCACAAGTCCTTCTTCACAGGGCTGCTCAAAAGATGCTAAGTCATGCTGGAATATATCAGTGTTAAGTTCCAGAAACTCTGGAATAAAATGTTCCGTGTCAAAATTGTAACAAATCAGTTGTAACAGTAACAGTAATGTCTGACTCAGACATTAGACTGTACTGTAATTCTTGAAACTGCTACACTGCTAGTAAGAATAAATGATTTGTATTTTCTTTACAATTCTGTTAAACACTCTTGCAAAGGATTAGTTATGAATGAATTTCACGTAGTGACAGGCATCTGAAAGCACAGTTCTTGCATACTAGAGATGGTATCATCTAGGAACACTTTTCTGTGAGTCTTCTGCTACACTCAATGTCTGATACATTTCCTAAATGAAGATGCGAATCACAGAGTCACAGAATCGTAAGAGTTGGAAGGGACCTTTGGAGATCATCTTGTCCAACCCCCCTGCAGGTTCCCCACAGTAGGTTACAGAGGAAAGCATCCAGATGGGTTTTGAATATTTGCGCAGAAAGAAAATCCACAGCTTCCCTGGGCAACTTGTTCCAGTACTCTGTCATTCTCAAAGTAAATAAGGTATTTCTCACTTTCATATGGAATTTCCTATAATTCAGTCGGTGGCTGTTACCCCTTTCCTTTCACTGGATATCACCAAAAAGAGGCCGGACCCATCCTCTCAACACTTGCCCTTTAGATATGAGTGTTGATAACATCCCCTCTCAATCTCCTCCAGGCTGAACAATCTCAGGTCTCTTAGCCTTTCCTCATAAGGGAGAGATTCTAGGCCCCTAATAATCTTTGTAGTTCTCCTGAACTCTCTCCAGTAGTTTCTGTCTTTCTTGGACTGAAGAGCCCAGAACTGGACACATCAATTTCACTTGTTCTGGATGCCTAATATTGACAGTAGAATCAGTGAGGAACATGCACTTCAAAAGGCAAATGAGAAAATCATGTTTTGGAAATGACAGCATTGGCATTTCCAAAGAAACTGTCACTTTAATGACAGTGCATCTCTTACCTTAATGATGATTCGGGGATACTGGAGGAGAAAAAAAAAAAAAAGAGAGAGAGAAAAAAGAAAAAGTTATCAAAGCATAAAGAAATCAACTGTGGACTTTGAAAAATACCGGTTGAATCCCTCTGAATGCTGAAAACTGGCTTAAGGAAACAATTTGAAATTCATGTTTGTAATTTAAGAGATAATTTTAGGATACAACCTGTTTATGAATCTATCTTTTACGTGAAGACATCCAATCTCTTTCTACATATCAGGGGCATTTGAAGAGAAATGACCACAAAATCTGAGCACTGAGAGATTTCCAGGAGTGCTTTCAGAAACCTTGCCTTCTATAAAGGCAGCAAAGGGATAGAGTATGAAATTACAGCAGTTCTCTAAGAACACCGGGAACAATTCCAGCTCCCTTTTACTCAACATACAAGTGAGGGAGTCTCTATGAAGAGTATTCCAAAGTCATGCTCAAAAAATCTTGACTATTGCTCTTACTTACTGTCTCCTGAACAGGTCTGAACTGGCTATCCAAAGTGACCGCACGAAACATTACTGGAAAAGATGTAGGACAAAAGAGAATCATTTACTTTTGTAGTGGTAAGTTCATCCCAGTGTATGACTGAAACAAAATTTGTGCAGGCTTTTAGGAAGAACTAATGAGTCCTCAGAGAACTGGAGTGTTAGAAAGAACTTGATTATTTTAGATAGTTACAAAGAAAAAAAAGAGAAGGGAAGGGAAGGGAAGGGAAGGGAAGGGAAGGGAAGGGAAGGGA